ATTTCTGCCCACTCACATAGTTGGGTGTCCACACTGAAAGTCAATAATTAATTATAAGATGAAATCTCTGCCTTCATCAGACTTATGTTTTAGGAGGGAGACGTCAACTATCATAAAATGCAATCAAGGGAAACAAGATACCCATAAAGATAGAAGAAGGAGGCTACATAGTTCCTGAAGCTGTCAATGTAGGATAACATTTAAATCATAAATTTACATAATTTTTTTAATTTAAGAACAAATATCACACGATTATCTCAACAGATATAAAACCTAGACTTGGCAAAATACAACACTGCAAAATTATTTTTTTAAAAAAATTAACAGATTAGGAATAGAAAAAGACTTCCTGAACATAGTAATAAAAAGCCTCTATAAAACAAAACTACTTAGCATCATATTTAATGGTCCAGCAAATGGGTGTTTTCCTCCTAAGGTGAGAAGTAACGGAAGGATGCCCACTCCTGCCAGTTTTGTACAGTATTATATCAGATTGCTAAAGAGGACAGAAAAGGAAACAAGAATAGCCCAGCCTGTGAAGGAAGAGCTGAAACTGTTTGCAGATGGAATGTCTTCTATGTAGAAATCCCTAAGGAGTCCAACACCAGCAACAACAAAAACTAGCAAGCCAGCTCAGCCATGTTACAGAACGTAACAATTCTGTTTCCACATGCTAGTAATAAACAACCCAAAACCTGAAAATTAAGAATACAAGTTCATTTATGGTAGCATCAAAAGAGATAAAAGTGGCATCCAGAAGAATGAAATGCTTAGGGACAAGTTTAATACGTATGAAACTTACACTCTGAAATTTTTATTTGAAAGAAATGAAGACCTAACTCCACCAAAAGGCATGCCCTGTTCATGAATCAGATGGTATTTTTATGATGGTAAGACTTCCCCCAGCCACATACAGATTTTGATGCAATTTCTTCATACTCCCAGCTGGTTTCATTTTAGAAACTGACAGGTTGATCTGAAAAATCCCCCATGTAAATGAAAAACACCCAGAATCTCCTAAGTTCTTGAAGCATGAGAGTCAATTTAGAGGAAACGCTTCCTGATTCCAAAACTTGCCACCAACGTTATCAAGATAAATCATTTATGCCCAAGAATGTGCACATAGTTTGGAAGAGAACTGAGATCCAAAAACAAATCCATACATTCATGGTCAAATAATTCTTGATAAGAATCTAAGACGGCCCAATTGGGGGAAAGCTGTCATTTCAACAGATAGTGTGTCAGTGCTGGGGCACACACTAACCTGTGAGGGTGCAGGCCAAGGAGTGAAATTTGATTCTTCCTCACACCATATGCAAAAATTAAATCAAAAGGATAGAATATCTACACACAAGAGACAGAGACCTATATAACCCTTAGGAGAGAATGCAAGAATAAATAGTCACAATATTGCATTATGACATTAAATGCCATTAAATTATGACATAAAATACACAAGCAATAAAAGAAAAGATCAATTTTGAACTTCCGTAAACTCTTTTGGCTTCAAAGGACGTGAGAGACAACCCATAAAAGGGATTAAGTAGTTGTGAACCTCTTCTCACGCAGAATTTACATTTTAAATATATAAAAATGTGCTAAATTTCTTAAAAACCAGAAAGCGTAATTCCAGAAAGAGCTGAAATCCAGGTGAGTGTGGCGATGCAGATGCCTGAGGGTTTGAGGCCAGCCTGATCTACAGAGCAAGCCCCAGGCCAGCCAGGGCTACAAGGGAGAGCCTGTAAAACAAAGCTGCACAAACAAGCAAAGAAGATCAGCAAACGGCTGACTGACGTGTTACGCGATGACTAGACATGAGGAAAATGGGCGCACAGATGCCGCCTCGCATGGCATCTTGGGCTGAACGACTGTAGTCAAAGAGTCAGCTGATAAATGTCAGAATAGGAGTAAAAGTATCAGGAGATTCATGCTGGCTGTGGCTGACACAGCTACTCTGGAAAATCATCAATAACCTCCTCAGAAGGTCAGATGTAGAGTCATCATTTGGCCTAACAATTCTCTTCCTTAATAGATGCCCAAGAGAAATGTTCATTCGGAGATGTATAGATGGATTTTTAGAGCTTCATTATTCTTAATTTCCAAAATGTAGGACCAACTTATATAGCTATCAACTGACGAAGGAACAAATAACCTGCGGCCTATCTAGTCAACAAAACAGTATTCAGGTTACATCTACACAAAGATGAATCTTGGCAATACTAAGCGGAAGAAACCACACACAAAAGACCATTATATGAAATGTCCAGAAGATGCAAGCATGTGCTGAGTGTTGGTGTCTCTGTTACTATCTATTGCTGTGAAGAGACACCATGCCCAAGGCAACTCTTGCAAAGGAACCATTTAACTGGGGGCTTGTTTACAATTTCAGAGGATTATGAACCACATGGCAGGAAACGTGGCGGCAGGCATAGTGCTGGACCGTAGCTGAGAACTGACATCCTGGTCCACAGGCAACAGGCAGAGTGAGAGAGACACGGGTCCTAGCATGGGCTTTTGAAACCTCAAAGCCCACTCCTAGTGACACACTTCCTCCAACAAAGCCACTTTCTGATCCTTCCCAAATAGTCCCAGTCGCTGTGACTAAGCCTTCAAATATATGAGCCTATGGGGGCCATTCTCATTCAAACCACAAAAGCTAAGAGGCATGGAGTTTCTTCCTGGGTGATTAAAACTTCTAAGACTAACTGTAGTGATTCTTTCTCAGTTCTGGATATACTAAGAAATCATTGAATTGCACACTTTAAATTGACTGATTGTGTTTTATGCAAATTATATTTCAATGAAATTTATTACAAAAACAAAGGAACAAAGGAAGTGAAGAGAGCTAATGGAATCAGAATTCCAAAAGCAGAAGGGAAATTCAGCCAGAGGCAGACTTGAGAGAATAATTCTCCCAATCTTATAAACAGTTTCAATCTACGGGTTCAGGAAACTCAAGCAAACCCAAGAAGGAACAGTGCACAAACAAATGCCCTCGAGTCATGACTTAGTGAAGACACACAAGACCAAAGACAGGACGCAAAACCAGAAAAACCGCCAAAGGGAAATGACCAAGAAAACGAGGGCACAGAGAGCTGAGTGCGGGCGGAATGCCGAGGGCGCAGGGAGCTGAGTGCTGCCGAGGGCGCAGAGAGCTGAGTGTGGACGGAATGCCGAGGCCCACGCACACACCAGAGGCGGCTCCTGGAGTCTATATCTGAAGAACTCGAAACAAATGTAAGAGAGATTTTGGCACTGGAATCAAGGCCTGAATTTTGATGTTGCTGTTTTGTTTGTTTGTTTTTCAAGACAGGGTTTCTCTGTGTATCCCTGGCTGTCCTGGAACTCACTCGTAGACCAGGTTGGCCTTGGACTCACAGAGATCTGCCTGCCTCTGCCTCCCAAGTGCTGAGATTAAAGGCGTGTGACACCACTGCCAGGCTCTAAATTTTTTAAAGATTTATTTTGTGTATATTAGTCTTTCCTTGCATACACAGGAGCCTACAGAGGCCAAAAGAGGGCATCAGATCTTTGGCAACTAAGGTTACAGAGTGTTGTGCCATGTGGGTGCTGGGAACTGAGCCCAGGCCCTCCACAAAAGCAGCCAGTGTCTTTAAACACATGAACATGTGCACATACACACACCTGCACATACACACACATGCACATACACACACCTGCACATACACACACCTGCACATACACACACCTGCACATACACACACATGCACACAGCACACACTCCACACTACACACCCCCACACACCTCATACACACACACGCACTCATACACAGAAGGCTTGTATTCACATGCTTGCCTAGATGAACTCCGGGTCACTAAGTTCTCGTCTGTAGCACAGGGATGTCTGCTGCATCCCCGACAGCATGTGCACTAAAGGTCTTCACTGCCTGCAAGGAACGAGAGAGCTTGATACGAACTCTTTCCCAGCTACCCCGTGACACTGAACAGTTACGGTGTGTTCTGAAGGACAAGGCAGGCTGGGGTGTGTGTACGAAGAAGAGGACGTGGGGTAGGCATATGCGCTGTTTGTCTGAACTGCCTTTGGAGGGATTTATAAGAGATTGGTAATAACCATTACTCTGGGGGAAGACAGAAGTATGTATCTATAAAACAGGGACAGTCTGAAATGTTTAGAACATTTAAAATCTAAACAACAAAAGTTCTAGAGAAAAATATGTTGCAATACACTTTTTTAATTTTGCAGTTTTCATTATCCTAAAGCATCTTTAAAGCATGGCACAATATGAAAACACCATAAAAGAACAAACTGGAAAACGTAAATAGCCAAGCATTTAAGGACTCTGTTTAATATATAAATATATAACTCTACCTTCCATACATTTTAAGTTTTATATGTTTCTATATTTCATATACTCAAAAAAAATAAAGTTATATACTTTTACCCTCTGAGGTTACAGGGTCCTCAAAACACCCCCAGCACTCCCTGCTTTACCAAGCACTGGAACCCGTCAGTTCCTCTGGCTGCAGAGCGTCTCAGCCTGCGGCCCACCCACGCCCACCGCAGGGACTTTTGGGAGGAAGGTCTCGGGGTGGAGCCTGACATTCATGTCACTCCCAGGCTCCTAACACCATGGGGAACATGCCCATCACCCATTCTGGACTCTATGTCTTCTGTTGTGTGACTATCCACAGTTTGGGGGTTCACCCCAAAGTGATGCAGGTGAGAACGTTTTAATCAAACAAACCTGAGCAGCCCCAGGAGGCAGACGACTGTGTGTGGTGCTGCCCCTGGTTCTGGACCAGCTCAGCAAACAGCTTGTGGGGATTGCTGGTAAGGTTTTACCAGCAGCCTCTTTAGGGATTCTAGAAGAACATAAGGGGCTGGAGAGATGGTTCAGTGGTCAAGAACACTGACTGCTCTTCCAGATGGACCTGGGTTCAATTCAGTTCCAGCACCCACGTGGCAGCTCACATCTGTCTGTAACTCCAAGATCTGACACCCTCGCACAGACATATATGCCAGCAGAACACCAATGTACATAAGATAAGAATAAATAAGTTATTTTTAAAAGAAAAGGGGGAAAGGCTGTCGGGGAGAGCACGGGGTGGAAGAAATGAGAAACGGGAGGAGAGAGAGAGAGAGAGAGAGAGAGAGAGTCAGGAGCACAGGATGTTACCAAAAAGGAAGAAAGACTTTGTAATTTGATCTTATTGTTTAAACAATGGCTACCCAGAATCCACAGACCATCATGACTACATGAATCCCACGGTTGGGGAGGACGGGAAGAGATGTTCACCGACATGGGAGTCTCTTCGGGGTGGACTGAGGCACCAAGCAGGCAGAGCAGACATGACTGGAATAAGCCCCGGTTTTCCTGGTTTTTCTTGTGTATTTTGATTCAGATTGGGGCTTCTGTGTCACACTTTACATAGCCGCTTGCAGATCCGTGTGAGAGCTCCCTCCAGCTCCAGTGGCTAAGTTATTTTTCTCTTCAGAGGCTGTGGGGCGCTCCCTCTCTGTCACCCCTCTCCCTTGCACAGGCAGCACGCACATATCCCCAAGGCCAGCCCTTCGGGCACGTGCAGCAAAGCTCACCCAAGCACTCAGACTCTGACAGCTAATAAACTGCCAGCTCTCCCCACAGATAACAATTCTTCATAGCTTATTTTCAAAACACTTGAACTCTATAATGTATGCTCAGCCAGCTACAAGGAATTACAGAAAATTGATACACTCTTCAATACCAAGAAGCGGCCATTGTTCTTGGTCTGGTTGTTTATGGGCCGTCGCAGCTGCAGGGCACAGGAGGAGAAGCTGCAAAATTGAGGGCAATGTTCAAGGGGCTTGGAGCGCCAGACAGCTGAGGAGTGCTCTGAGCCGCATAAAGACCGGCCGCAATGTAATCGCCGGCACCAGCATGGAGGTGTCGTGGCTGGAAATGAAGGCCAGATGCAGCATTCTGCGTGGGAGATGAGGCCATTCAATCCACTTTGGCGCCTCTTTTTCTTCTGAAGATAATTTCTCAGATCCCAGAATGTCAGAGCTAAAAGGAGTCAAAATCAAGTTCGTCTTTTCTAATCTTCTCGCTTACAAGCAAACCACAAAAACAATTTTTAAGAAAGACTAAGACCCAGAAAGGTGAGGGAGATGACCGAGGCTGAGGCGCCAGTTTCTGGCCCTAATTCAGGACTTGTTTTGTTTTGGACACCCACACCCCGCTCCCAGTGCTTACTCTAATACCCTGTCTGCTCCAGTTCTACCGGTGTCTGTGTGTCCTTGAATAGACTAACTGCCTTCCTGTGTCCCAGCGACTGAAGAGAGAGGGGTGCTTAATACCTCTGTGTGGCAGTCCATGAAGGAATCAAATGAGGTTCTTGTGGAGTGCCTCGCACCATGCCTGGCTCACGGCATCCTAGTCATGGAAAGCCTTGGCATTGTTGCCAGCGCTACCATCGCTGTATCTCCGCCACCTGTGCAGAGGCTGGGCATTAGAGTCTCGGGATACCCCGGAAAGACAACGTTCTAAAGCAGCTGTGCCCCTTGGAACTTCTGGGGACACTGACCTCGCCGCCCTTAGGACGCGCATGTGTGGAAGCCAACACAAGTACCTCTCCCACACGGACATCAAACACCCGGGAAGGAAACTGAACACTCTCATCATCCGCAAAATCCAGACTGAGTAATGAAGCCATCAGCACACTAAAATTATGCATCTTGCAGTTCCAACCTGCCTGTCGCTTATAATTGCTTTTAAAAAGAAATCCCAATTTTTGCTAATCCTCTAACCTGATTAATGAAGCACAATGAATGTTTTAGGATTAATGAACATGTTCCTATGAAAGAAGAGACAAATTTTACCAAGAATGCCCGGGAGATAAAAGAATGAAGGCCTTTGGAGGAAAAATACTAAAAGACAAGATTAACTGAACACAAGAAAGACGCTGTCTTAAACGGCCGTGTCCCAGGCAGCAGCCTAGCCTGTCCTTTCTCCTGGGGACAAACCAGAGGCTTGACTCCTCTGCAATGCGATCAGCCCTTCGTGCTTCTGAATTGGGATCAGATTGTCACTCTCAGTCATTAAGTCTGGAATTACAGCCAGCCAATTCAAAAGCTCTTGGTTAAAAAGCTCATTACAGGAGTGAGATAGAAGGGGGTGTGCCCAGCTTTTACAGAAATCAGAGGAGGTCAAAAGAGATGAAAACCTGTGGGTGGGAACCAGGCCACCCCACACCCATCATTCCGCATGTACCCTGGGACCCATCTGAAGGCCCATATCAAACTCCCACCCTGACCCTCACTGTTCCTTCTCTGGAGACGTTATTCCTCTAGTAGCAAATCTTCCCATGGGCCCACAAGAGGCCACACAGAGAGAGGGAAGAGGGCATTTGTACCTTGCCATGAATGCATGTGGTTCTACCAAAGCTTCGTACCAGTGAGATCATTGGGTAGGCATTCTGGATTAAAGATGAAGAAATCGGCTCCCCAAGAGCCCTAACATCTGCCCCAAGTGTCTCTTCTCCTCCCAGACACTCATAGTTCCTTGCACACGGCCCAGATTTACCAGCCTGTGGATTCCCGTGGAAAAGGCGGCACCCGGCCAAGGAGTCCCATATGCTGAGTGGGAGCCCCATATACACAACCAGAACAAACATCCTGAGAGCCCCACAGTGTCGCCAGATTTCTGCGCAGCTTCCACAGCCCACTTACCTCAGCCCTCCATTCCTCCTAGAAGGAGCCTACAGTACAGAGAACAAGCCACACGTCAGAGGATTTAGGGATGTGTCTGGCCCCGTTGTTAACTTCCTTTTCCTGACATCAATACCAACAGAGACAGCAGCCACCATCTGGGGACCCCACAGCCTGTGGAGTAGAATCCTTAGGCTCCCCAGGCCCTGCCTCTTGTACTCTGCTCTGGGGTACCACGCTGTCCCAGTTTTGCAGATTAGAGAGCTGGTTGTCAGAGCCCGAGTCTCTGATCTGATGGTCTGTCATGGGTAAGCGACAAGAATCAACTCGGAGCCCTTCCGACCCAACAGCTTGCACTATTAACGGTTTGCCCCAGGACCTGGCGCTGTGCCTGCTGTTCACAACGTGGATGTTGATAAGTTAGTGTGCCCATATGGCACAAGGACAGGAAGCCCTTCAAGGGCAGTGTGGCAGGGCATCCTGAGCTCTGAAAAGAAACGTGTGCCTACAGCCATCCTGCTATAAAGAAGGCAGGTCCTGAACAACTCGCTGGGAAAGGGGCCACCACCCTTGCCAAGAGCAGAAAGTGACAGGAAACACAGGGTGGGGAGAACTTGCTAGTTAATCTGTGGTTTATTTGTTTGTTTGTTTTTGTGAGAGTCAGTTTATCACAGGATGAAATTTTACTTTTCAAAAATTACAAGGAAACACTCCCCAGACAAGCCCTTTCAAAGGAGACTAGGGTAGGGGTCCCAGCCAAGGGACAAACTTCCGTCCATCCTACTTAGCAGACAGCTTTGAAAACCTACTGTGCGCTGTACTGTGTGCCGGTCTCTTTGAGGAAATATTATCCTGGAGACTTCATGCTATAGGAGCGGAGGAACTCCAAAACAACCTTATGCAGCTAACAGCCGCAGCTGCAGCACGAGGGAAAGGTGAACTCATTCCTGTAACAAATTCACATTTAATAAAGCAAATGGAGCCGGGCGGCGGTGGCACACGCCTTTAATTCCACCTTTCAGGAGGCAGAGACAAGAGGATCTCTGAGTTCAAGACCAGCCTGGTCTAAAGAGTGAGCTTCAAGACAGCCAGGGTGGTTACACAGAGAAACCCTGTCTCAAACAAACAAACAAACAAACAAATAAAGCAGCGAGGTGTAGTTTGCTGGGGTCATGGCAGGCCTGACTGGGACTCTTAAGCAGAATCATTAACCACGTGCAGGAATTCACCAAGCCAGCAGAGGGCAGAGGTGTGAAGGTATTGTAGGACATTGTCCTTGACACACTTGCTTACTCCCTTCTCAGTGTCCCCAGCTCCTTTTTCAGGCCACCTAATGCCACAGTGGCCTGATTCTGCTCAGCTCCTGACCCTGGCTAGGGAAACCAACAAGGCTTAGGCAGACTGTTTTCAAGTTAACTCGAACTTTGACCTTGTGTCTCCCTCCAGGGCTACTTCTGGGCTGGGAACTGGCACCCTGGTACCACTGGACTTGGTGGCATCAATCAAGTTAAACCAGGCCACTGGTCCTGAGGTCAGTCCCCACCCCCACCCCCCACCCCCTCCTCCAGCTCCAGGGTTCTTCCCAGACTGCGCCAAGACAACAATCCAACTGCCTTATTAGCAGCAGCCACTTTTCACCCTGACAAAGTTAAAACTCCAGGGCACAAACTGGGTAAAGCAGCTCCTGTAGCCAGGGTCTGCATCTCATCATAGTGTATGCATAACTGCCTGAAAGCTAGCAGAGCCTCTCGGGCAGGGGCGGGTCTCGCCCAGCTGAGAAAACTTCCCTTCGGAGGAGTGAAGCAGCCCCAGGGCCCCCCTTTCAAAAATGCACAAGTATCTTGGGTTTATTTCAGGGACTAAATGACTCTGAGCAAGAATCTACTTCCTCCTGCTCCCAGTGGGGCCCTGAAGAGTAAAAATGATAGAACAGTTTGCTCCAGCAATCTGAAAAGACTGCAGCAATACACCCCGAAAGCACCCCCAGAGATAAAAGAGGAAGATTAAATAATTCGAAGATAATTTCTTCCATGAAAAGAATAATGTTGCCATCAAAATGAAAACCCTTGTAATAAAACCAAATTATTCTGAGACCATGGGAGTGATCTGCCTCTCCTGCTCCTGGCAGGCAGCTCTTCTGTGGGACCCAAGCTGAGTTCATCAGCACCCAGTGTATACTGGAGCCCTGGGCCTGCAGGTGCCCCGAATGCCATCTGCGGTCATGACCAGGTAACACAGCGACCTGGTCTGAAATCCAGCGCCAGTCCAGTGGCCCAGCACAGGTGTTTGCTCCAGGGTCCAGAGCTAATATCATGTGCTACAGTTGTGTGCAGGGGTCCGATATTAATAACAACAGAGAACCTGGACAATGACAAGGAGGTCAGAACCAGTCTCTGGGGCCCCAAGGAAATCAGACATCCAGGGTCAAGAACAGCGGTATCGCTTTCTCTTTCTCCCAGCTGGGCTCTGCTCCGGACGGCAGCCCTTTTTCATTTGACCTGCAGTCTACACATAAATAGGACCAGAGGCAAATCTCTGTGTTGTGGGGGCCCAGAGAACAGAGAGCAGGAAAAGACATAGCCAGATTTAGAGAGGTGTGGAGAAAGAGCTCAACCACACGCAGTTAAAATCTGCTAAACCAGGGGCTCCACAGCTAGACGGAACTGAGCAGAGGGGGAATGGCCACACAGAGCAACACAGGTTCTCTTAGCTCAGCAAATCATGAAGGCCGGTGTTTGGGCTTTATTCTTCTCTCTGCCTAAGGGTACCCTTGAGATAACCTGCGCTACCACACAGGCACGTACAGTAGATGTTTTTCTGTTTGTTCGTGGTACTAGGATGGTGTAGGCGGGTCTTCTTTCCATGTGTTGCTTTCATTGGTCAAATAAAGAGACTGCCTTGGCCTTTTGATAGGACGGCCGCTTAGATAGGTGGAGTAGACAGAACAGAATGCTGGGAGAAAGGAGGCAGAGACAGAGAGCCACCCGCCATGAAGCTGCCAGGTCAGACATGCTGAATCTTTCCCAGTAAGCCACGAGCTTGTGGTGACATACAGATTATTAGAAATGGGTTGAATCAAGATGTGAGAATTAGCCAAAAAGAGGCTAGAACTAATGGGCCAGGCAGTGTTTAAATGAATACAGTTTCTGTGTAATTATTTCGGGGTTAAGCTAGCCAAGCGGCAGGAAGCAGCCCACTGTTCCTCATTACAACACTAGGGAACAAATTCAGACATCTACACACAGAAGTAAGTGCTCCACCACTGAGCTACACCACACTGTGTAGAATTTGAAACCCTCAAGAAAAGACAGCCCTAAATGGAACTATTGACTCGGGGCCATCCCCCCAGGGCAAGGTCTGCAGGCAGAAGAAACCAGCAGGTGTGGGCAGCGCCAGGATCCAGAATGCCCGGCTTAGGGGCATCTCTTCCTCTAGGCACAGAGCATAACATCAATTTCCTTGTTTCATGATATTCACTCATTTACAGAACCTCATTGAAGACACCAGTCAGCCCCGGGTTCAAATCCTAATATTGTCATTCACTAGCTGCACAATTATCAGAAGGTCTCCTGACCACTCTGGCCACTTCATCAACTGGGAGGAGGATATGTAACACCCAGTCCTCAAGACCACTGTGGGAGCAAACAAATTAACCCAGATAAATATGTCACCATCCAGAAGAATGACAGCTTTGCAACAGGAATGCAAGAACCGGGGATCGTGAGGTTTGCATATTTAAGTCACATAGCGGGGTTGGCTCTGGTGGACAAGTAAGAAATGTCTTTAAGCCCAGAGACAGCACTCACATCAAATATCTTTGCATAAAGAGGGGGAAGCTTCTAGAATCTCCTTGCAATCTGGGAAGGACAATGATACCTTTTATGTGAAAAAAAAAAAAAAAAAAAAAGCTCGGGGAAAGACAGGTTGGCAGTAAGCCTCCCCGTAATACGCTCATGCTACTTTTCCAGACTTGAAAACAAACTGCAGATTTTACACCATCCTAGCGAAGGCACAGATTATCTCACTTTTCACACTTTGGACAGCTGTGGCATGCTACCATCCTCTGTCCAGCTCACCAATCAGGAGTACCAGACAAACACACTGTATTATATTTGCCTCAGACAAAGGAACCCCAGGGCTAATGAGTAAAACCAATTCAGTGAATCGGCTTAGTCTCTGAAGCCCATTCTAGCGGAGTGGCGAGGTTTACCTTGTGCCTTGTCCTACAGGAGCCAGTAGCCCAATGGTACAGTTCGTTAGTGGTGTCTGCCTGGGACCCAGGACAGGGTACCAAGGCTCTCTTTGTGCACTTCTGATACTTAGGAGAACCAGTGGTGGTAACCAGTTCTGCTCTGTGGTAAAGAAAGAAGGATGGGGGTCCTGGAGGGAGACGCTGTGGCAGGAGTCGGCCTGTCCAGTGATTAGACTGCTCAGAAGGGAACCGAACTGCAGCATCCATGCACACCTGGGATGTGATGAACGACGCCATAACAAACGAGCTACCTTGGATACAGCCGTCCTGGGGGACTCCTCTGAAACACAGCAGATGCCGCAACAGGTTATGCTAGCGAGAATGAAGCATTGTTAATTGGCAGACTTCCAGAACGTCCCTGTGAGGAAAGGAGAGACCCGATGGGGCTGATGTAAAATAAGGACAGGGACCTGTCAGAATGTGTCAGAATGTTAAGAATGTGCCTTGCTCTTGCCGAGGACCTGGGTTCGTTTTCCAGCGTCTGAGATGGTGGCTCACAAGCATCCATATCCGAGAACGGCCTAAGACGATTACTTCAGTTTTGAATAAGACTAAATTTACCAGAGTGGACTAAAATTGAAGTGTTTTTCCTCCCACTTGGCAGCAAGTGGGAGGCTTGTGAGGAAAATCATCACATCTAGAGAGCCCCAGACAGCATTCTGTCCCCTCATACCACTCCACCCCATTTCCATGCCTGCCACACATGCACAACATCTGCAGAATTCTCAAAACCCAGAGAATTGAAAACTACTCTGTTCTCATTCCAAAGGCAAGGCAATGGAGACAGAAAGGCCACGCCCAAAGCCACAACAGCAGGACAGCTGTGGGCTGCACAGATAGACCCCCAGAAGCCGCTGACCAGCTACTCCTCGGTCCTTTCCCCACAAAGCTATCGCTCTCTTCCTCACACTCTGGTACCCTTTGCTTCCCCCCTTTGAACTGTGCCTGGGCACTCAGCCTAGGACAGGTGCAGCTGCTGGGGATGTTGACTCTGACAGACAGGGACATTCTGCGTGGCTGGCACTGATGGCCTCTTTGGCTGAGGGTGACCCCTCAGACCACAGTACATAAGCAAAGTCACTCCATGGGTGGGTTTTTCTAAAGTCTGACAGAACACAGCACAGTGTGTCTTTCTAGGAATTCGTTCTGT